AACAGACGGAGAGGAAGGAATCGATTCGACAGATAATACAGAAATCAGTTGTGAATTATTTGGACGAATCCATCCAACGATTGCAGAAATTGAATGCAAACGACAATAAAGTGGACACAAGTTTGGGCACAAAGACTTTGAAAGTGGCGAAGAATATGAAGAAATCTCGACTTGAATTCAGTCAAAGAAATTCGCTTCTCTTTAGAGGCGAATCCAAACCATTGGTATTGAAGTTACTGAACATGAAGACCTGTTTAGGTATTTCCTACTTGTATTGCATTGTCGCCAATGACGAAACCAACCATTTTGTTGCCGACACTTCCATTGTGTTGGTATTGAATCATATGATTATCGATGGCTTAGATCTGAGCACTGAATACATGATTCATGTGTTTGAGCGATGGACTGAACAGGAGATCGACAAACAGATCTATATTCTGAATGCATTTAATGTGGAATTTATGGAAAATAATCAACCAATGAGTTCCCAAAATACTCGACCACCTAATCATTGCATTATCTGGCAAAATCATATGCCTTAAGAAGTGATACCAAAAATCATTCAGTATTACTTAAATGATTACTTAATTGCTTTATATAATTTTAAATCACTTGTTAAATATTTCATAAATATTTCATAAATATATCCTTTTTTGTATAAAAAACATTTTTATAAAATGTATAAATTGTATGACAATTAATGTTTAAATCCAATCAACAGTATGTGTTAAGTATTAAACTATTGAAAAGTGAAAACACAGATACAGTTTGCATTAATCCATGTTTTATTGAGAACTAATATTACAATCAATTTTGACATTTTAAAAGAGGAATACGTTTGAAAATATATTACAATTTATATAAATTATAAATAATGTCGAAAAGTGTTCAACTGCATTAACGGGGATTAAATGATCGGGGATATTGTGGGTAACGAAAGTCATATCGATTTGCACCGATTTTAGTCCACCGAAGCGGTAGATTTGAATCCGATTTATTGACACGATTTGAGGACAAGGCGTACAAATCGCGTGAATTGTATCGATCGGTGACATTGCGGGCACTCGAAGGCGACTGTCTATAAGTGTTACCATTGGATGAGCGCTGGTTTGGGCCGAAAGAGCGCATCGTTGCGTTCATTCCTCTGTTGTTCTGACGAATAAACTCTTTATTATTAGTCCTCTTAGGGTTGGAATCGTTGCGCTCGAGTGCCACGAAGTCATCGACGTGCATAGACGGGGGTCGGGACGTGTTGGGCGGTCGCGACCGGAACGGGTCGTTCAGTCTCGTGAACGATCGGCCCCTACCTCTGGACCCTTGCATTCGTTTGTTCAGATTCACGACATTCTCTTTGGGAGTATTTCTTATGAATGGCAACTGAAGCGTCTTCTCTGAGATGTCGTTCTCTTTGCTTTGGGTTTCACTCATCGGTTCCGACCAATACTTCTCAAGATTGGCCCGAATGTCGAATTCGGCGCCGAAATACTTAGTCGAGAGCTCTATTAAATCCATTTTCATGGCGTCCGCCGAATCTATTTGTTCCGACTCATCGGTCGCCACCGAAAGCCATTCGGGAACTAATGGGTCGTCTTCTAAGACAAACACCGATCGATTGGCGAAGTAATTGCTCAGAGATTCTGTATTCAAAACATTTGTTTCGTTTGAATTGTTTTCCGTTTTGTTGTTCACATCAGTTGTGTTCGCATTGTTTACTTCAGGAGTCAACACATCACTGTCTGCGTTGGGCTGAAGTATAAACTATTTGGCAATAAATAAGACAATTAGTGACAAATCATGCAAAAACGGTTCACATGTAACAAATGGCTTACATTTATGAATTCATTGGAATTGATTTGAACGGTTTTATTGAATACGGATTGAAGTCGTGTCAGAATCGGTGCACTCTTATCCTCCTTTTGGATACTATTCCTCAAATGAGTGACAAAACCGATTCTAAACGGAATGTTTGTCGATAAGTCTTGAATGACATTCAATATGCGAACCGTCGGGCAAATGACAACATTTCGCAAATCATTTGTCGAATAATGAAATGTTTCGAGACTTGAGACGAGAGAATCGAAAATAGATTTGGCGACAGTTGTGACGGTAAGCGCCGACAAATCACACAATTGGATGCAAACTCTTTTCAACAGTATTTGAATCGGTTGTAAATTACTTGTTATGAAATTGGAGACCAACTCTTCGATGCGGTCGTTGAGCACATGGAGATGTAATGACCATAACTTGCGAAAGTTCACAGTTTTGAGTACTTCATGGTTGAGCATCGGTTGCTTCACTAGTAGTGGTAAGGGTTGGGGCAACACATCAGACAAGAGTGTCAGTCCGTGAATGAAAGTGAGCGGCGATGAGAGGGTGTAATCGATGACATGTTTAGCCATTTTAGTCCAAACGCTTTTGTTGATGGCTTCGTCCGATTCACTGCCACTGATATACAGTTCCGTATAAATGAGAAGTATTTCACTGATTTCGTACTGAATCTGTTGCGCAATCGATACGATCAGCAGTTGTGTGGGCGCGGAGGTCGGCACTAATGCCAACACTGAATACAATCGTAATAACACTGGAATCGGAGAGATGTCTGTAAAGTCTGTGCCGCGAGAGGACACCAAATAAGTGACAATTGATTTAATCATCAAAACCGACGGTTTGATAAAATTGATGACAAGAGAGCCCTGATATCCGATGAGTGCAAAGCTTTGATGGGAAGGCTTTAAATAAGTTTCACTCAATTTGTTCAGAAGGAACAGGATTTGCGATAAACCATCAAACGATAAGATTTGAATGATAGCGTATCTGTACTTCAATTGTATATTAGTGCAAAGCTTTGATGGGAAGGCTTTAAATAAGTTTCACTCAATTTGTTCAGAAGGAACAGGATTTGCGACAAACCATCAAACGATAAGATTTCAATGATAGCATATCTGTACTTCAATTGTATATCCATTTCAGAGACTGATTCTGAGGGCAGACATAGAGTTTGAAGAATTCTTAATGTAGTGATCAGTTCGGGGCTTATTGTGAACAATGAGTTATCCGGTGAGTCGCGGACCGACTCGTAATGCTTTTTAATGACAGACATTAGAGTTTTAAACGTGTTTTCGGTGTACAGATTGTATGAGACGTTTTTGATAGGACTCAACCAGTTTGCGATGGCTTGCAGTTTAGGGATCGACTCGTTTTCGCAGACTTTCAATAGTATCTGTCCATAAGAGTCCAAAAACGTCATAAGATTGGCATCAATGAGTTGCAAAGAGACTAAACACAGCTCAAGAGCACATCCACACGAAACCAATTTAGAAATCATTGATTCCTTCTCCTTATCGCCGGCCAAACAAATGAATGGTAGGATTGCGTCGAAATTGGTCTCAGAGGTGAGAACGTGAACCACAGCGTCTCTACCGATACCCGTAAATAGCATTGTATAGAGACTGTGAAGTGTGGCCACGAGGTCGGGGTCGTCGAAGTTGTCCTTAAAGGTGACAGTCTTTGATCGTTCGTGAGTTATATGAAACCCAAATATCAAATCAATTAATTGCAAGACTTGTAATCTGTAGATCAGTTTAAGGGCAATGGTTTGCAATGGGGTTTCAGAGTCATCGCACTGTTGTGTCAGTATTTTATATAAATTATTGGTTGAGTTGATTGTATCACAACTGAGAAGGAATCTTAAGCCGTGGCTGGCGTTCGACAATGAGTTCAATAGATCCAAAGCGCTGTCGAAGGCATCGGCCGAACAGTTACTCTTTGCCGAGAGAATGCTCGTCAGACACTCGACTGTATTGTTTCGTTTGAAGTATTTATAAACAGCTTTATATGAATCATACGGCGATGTCTTCATTTCAAACTGTTTGGTCGTCGGCAGTGACCGAAAGGGTTGACTCAACAAATTGTTTGCATTTTTATAAGTCATCGAAATTTCGTTCAAACAAATAGCAATCGAGTCCTCGTTTGACGGCTCAGTGTTGGGCTCTTCACAGGCTTTTGACAAATACTTCAAGATTTCAAACAAATGAATCTTTTTTAACAAAGAGGTCAACGAAACGACGATTCGAGTCGAGGGCTTCTCCACTAATAAGTCGAGCAATAATTGATAACACGTTTGACTTGCAGTGGGTTTGCCATCAAGGATATGCTCCACACCTGAAGGCCAGTCGCAGATGACATCAATGCCGCGAATGATGAGGAGACGCACAGGTATTGTCATATACGGCCGGTTATACAGTTCAAGCAACGTATGCGTCAAATTGAGATCAAGTATTTTGTTAAGTATTTGTTCCGATGTCTGTGACAATGCTATCAATAATTTAATGCCGGCCTTCATGTGCCGCACTTTATAAGCAGTGATCATCTGTTTCATCGCTAACTCGAAGTCAATTCCGTCGACAACGAAGTCGATTAATGTCTTTATAAGCAATTCATCTTTAATTAAACACTTATTGATTTCAATGGATATCTGTTCGACCACTTCCACCCATTTGTCATTTCGTATGTCTTCCACACTATTCACTAAATCAATGACTTTCGACTCATTCGCCGATTCAAAAGTGTCACTCATTTCAGACAAATCAAAGTTAGAGAGCGACGGATCTCTTAGTGATTGCAATGCTGTGAACTCACACTGAAATGGATTGAAAGCACCGAAGTCTGAGTAAGAGCTCAAATCGTATTCAGAGAAATCCATTAATAAGTCATTTTCAGCGTTTGAAGGAAAGTCTTCATATTCTTCTTCACTACTAATCTCTTCGAAGTCGTCCTTCGACTGACTGTCAGACACGGCGTCTTCGCCGATGATTTGATCCAAGTTTTCGTCGTCTGATATCTTCTCTGCAATTTCCGAAAGAGAGTCTTCGGGAGAGAGCGGTTCAAACAGTTCCGAGTCCTCGAATGCCAAACTGTCATCAATTGGTTTGACTTCAGTTTTGTTCACTTCTTTAGTGTCATTGGACTCCAATCGGTTAAAAGCGGCCAAAAGCGGAGATTTGGTGAGTGATCGGTGACGGGAAGGGGAGGGCGGGCGAGACGGTGGGGACAGCGATGAGTTGGATATAGTCTTAATTGAATGGAGCGGCGAATGCGATGATACGGACGGCGACCGATGCCTTCTCGGAGGAGATCTGTAATACCTTTTCGGCGATCTTTTGGGGGATTTGTCGAAAGGAGATGAAGGCGTCCGATGAACGTAACGGCGCTTCAGAGAGTTGGGAGTATTGCTGCGACTCTTGGACTTACTTCTGCTGCGACTCTTGCGTTTGGAAACGTACGAAGATTTCCGGTTATGATGTGTCTTATTGTCTCGGAATCTGTGATGAGTTCGTTGAGTGATTATCTCAATGGGTTTGTCTCTCTTGCGGCGGTCACTGATGTCACTGCACTGAGAAGAGGCCCGACTCTCATGTCTGTCGCCCTTTCGGGAGAGAGTGGGCGACCGTCTCTTTTTATACGAGTCATCACTGGTTTCCGTCAAAGTCTTAATTATTTGGTTCACTTTTAACTCATCGATTCGGTCGCAAACACTATCACTAATTGAAAGACAATCCGTCGGCAACTCATCCACAAAATTAGTCTCTTCTTTGAAGACATGGTCGGACACGACATCAGACGCCTGTTGTGTGTCATCGGCTATAATGCGAGAGATGTCTGCAATACATCCGAACACCGATAGGGTTAGTGTGCTATACATCCCTCGCAATATCAGTCCATCCGTTGGGATCAACTCTTTGGGCACAAACTTAATGCTCACGTTTTGCTGATAATCCAGACTAAGAGACAATTGCGAGACAAGTGTCAACTCATATGAGACCACAATTGCAATAATCAATGAGTGGTTATGGCATACCATCCGATGTCTAGGAAAGTACAGGCGTTTCCTTTGGTCAGATCGTTGATGAAGAACTCGAGTTCAAAAGACGACGGATTTGTGGCTCTATTCATGGCAACAGACAAACGGTTCCCAAAGATATCACGTATTAATACAATTGTGTAATCAAGACATCCATTGATGGAAATGAGAGACAAATGAATACAAACCCCAACCGAAGACCTCCGGGAAAGTCGGCCTCAACTCTGGCGCCCAATGGTATGACACGAATCTCTTTAATGATAATGGGATTCGGGAACTGAACTAAACCCAGATTTGGTCCCTGAAGACAAACACAAGACAACACAACACATGATTAGAGCGCAACTCAATTGGTGGTCATAACAGGTATCATAAGATTGATAACAAAGAAGTCGTACATCGGGTCCATCCGTTTGCGAGAAGGTGTCGAAGAACAAGAGCTCGAAGTCTTCAGCCATGGATTCTCGTGGTGTATGGACTCAATGCGTGGATCTAATTGAATGGCAAACCAATGATCACAAGATTAATTGATTCGTAAATTGAGTGAAACATTGATTTTCAAACATTCAATCATTTCTCTGTTGAATCCAAAGGCAATTCAATGGCAATCGTGCCACAGATGGCGGCACGAGTGCCATACGTTTCCCAAACCCTTTTCGCACCGCTTTTGCCACTACTTTCACTTCGTGTCACTTATAATGAGTTTTATTTTAATTATCATTATTTTAATTGCTTTCTAAACACATTTGCAAATGTTTTAACATATACTTCATATGTTCATATATTCAATAATCCTAGTCAACGAAAATCAGTATAAAATGATGTTATCTGCAAAGAGTACATCGGATGACACTTTATATACAGAATATTCAGAATATTCTTGAGAGGAATTCATATGAATTATGTGACATTAGTATAGGAA